TACCTCTTTCTGAAGTACGACCAAAGGCGCATATTGCCCATAATTGTACCCTATCTTGTCGTGTTTTTCTGCCCCTAAGTCCCACTTGAGGACCTCTTCCCGTTTGACAGAAGCTTTTTCTCATCTCGCTAAGCCTTGGCATTTTTCAAAAATCAACTACCTTTTCCAAAAATCAACCCTACCTTTTCCAAATTAATATATTTCGCACACCAAGCCAGCAGCTCATCAAAAGACCTTGTTGACCTCTCGGTGAGGGAATTTCTACACGCCTCTGGTCAGAGACCCCTTGGTAAACCTCTTACCCTAATCTCTTCTAATATTAAGGAGACGTCCACACATTCCCTAGTGTAATGGGCCACATTCTCACAAAAGGTATCCTCTCCCTCTGTAGCGTGTTGATCAAAGTTAGGTAGCTCTTATCGTGTTTTCTCGTGCTGGAGAACTGATTGATGAACTGTGAGATCAATCTCCCAAATCTGTATATAGATCAGGCCGGCAACTGTTGAAACCAATCTTGTGTTGATTCCTTTAGGGTAGTTAAGAAAGCTCTGTAACAGATAATGTCTCTATAGCAATAGAACACCGTTATGTTCTCAAAGCTCCTTAAGTGTAGCTGGGTTTGTTGAGCCATCGTAAGAAAGGCTTAGCTCGCGAAAGTTGGGCGGCAAATCGACCTCAGCTCTTCTTTAAAATTAAAATGTTTATAACATATCATAATAAATTAAAAAATAATAAATTAATTATTAATATATCAAAACTCATATTGAAAATGAAAATTTGAAACTATAAACAATTATAAATATTAATAAAATATTAAAATTATATAATTACCAAATATAAAATAAAAATTAAGAAGATTAATTGTTTATATATTTTTATTTATATGACATTAATGTGCATAAGAGATCTTACTACCCAACTTATGATGTAATCATGTACTTTTTTCATGAGTGGTAAAAAAAGTATATAATATTTACGAATATAATGAATTTATGAAAAAAAAAATCCTAAAATTTAAGTTATTTTATGTTTTATTTTGATTTTTTTTCAACTTCTTTTTCCATGTTGTATGATGTGTCCGTAAAATATGACGTTCTTGCGATTTCCTTAAGTGCTACTACCGTGTGCCTTGACAGATCTAACAAGGTGTGTTAAGGTAGTTTAAAATGAATATGTTATTTTATAAACTGAACATGTGTGAATATGTTTACGCATGTTCATTTTATAAATTAACATGTTCATTTTAAAAAAGTTTTGACACACATTGCTAGATGTGTCGGGACACACCTAAGTATAATAGGGTAGTTTATTTATTTAAAAATAAAAAAAATTAACTGGACAAAAATAAAAGAAAAAAAAATGAGTGGACCAAAATCAAACAGGCGTATTCTGGGAATACGTTTTTCGAAATTTTTTTTTTTAAAAACCGTATTCTCAGAATACGTTTTTTTTTTAAATAAAATATTAAAAAAATATTTTTTTAAAAATAATTTATAAAACGTATTTTCAAAATACTTTTTAACAAAAAAAATATTTTTATTTAATATTTTTTGTATAAAAAATTATTTTTTAATAAAAAAGATTTTTTTATTTAATTTTTTTTGTATAAAAATTATTTTCTATTAAAAAAATATTTTTTAAATAAATTTTTTTGTATAAAAATTTTATAATAAAAAAATTATTATATAAATTTATTTTATTTAAATTTTTTTGTATAAAAAATTATTTTTAATAAAAAATTATTTTTTATTTATTTATTTTTTGTATAAAAATTTATTTTTTAATAATAAAAATTATTTAATTTTTTTGTATAAAAAATTATTTTTTAATAAAAAAATTCGTTTTCAAAATTTGTTTCAAAATCCATCTATTTGTATTTTATTTTTTATTTATTTTTTTTTAAACAAAAAAGTCAAATTCACAAATAAAAAAAATAATTTATAACTCGAATTAGTCCAATTGAGGTCAAATTAGTACAATCTCGGTCAATTATAGTGTAATCGAACTCGAATTAGCCCAATTGAAGTCAAATTAGTATAATATCGATCAATTATAGTGTAATCGAACTCGAATTAGCCCAACTGAAGTCAAATTAGTACAATATCGATCAATTATAGAGTAATCGAACTCGAATTAACCCAATTGAAGTCAAATTATTGCAATCTCGGTCAATTATAGTGTAATCGAACTCGAATTAGTCCAATTGAAGTAAAATTAGTACAATTGAAGTCGAATTAGTACATTCTTGATCAATTATAGTGTAATCGATCTCGAATTAGTCCAATTGAAGTCAATTTAGGACAATATCAGTTAATTATAGTGTAATCGAATTCGAATTAGCCCAATTGAAGTCAAATTAGTAAAATCTCAGTCAATTATAGTGTAATCGAACTCGAATTAGTCTAATTGAAGTCAAATTAGTACAATCTCGGTCAATTATAGTGTAATCGAACTCGAATTAGTCCAATTGAAGTCAAATTAGTATAATATCGGTCACTTATAGTGTAATCGAACTCAAATTAGTGTAAATAAGCTAATATATATAGCAATCTACTCCCCCGGGAATTCAAGTTTCTCTAATTAAAATCCTCAGAACTCTGAAATACTCGATAAATGTCCCGCATGACATCGTGCCTGAATTATCTACACGCCCCAACTCGATTCTTGGTAAACTGAAGTCACACACGTCCTTGCGGTATGCACCCTCGAACTCGAGCTTCTCTAAATAATTGATCGGAACCTCGAAATAGTAAATCAACGCGACAAACGGCTTCTTCTCTTCTCGTGCATTCTCGAAAGCACTTTTCGTTAATGCTCGACTCACTTATCGAAGCCGACAGAACACCGCAAGGTCGCCTCATTAAATAAGCTAATATATATAGCAATCTACTCCCACGGGAATTCAAATTTCTCTAATTAAATGCTCGGAACTCCAAAACACTCGATAAATGGCCCGCATGACATCGTGCCTGAATTATCTACACGTCCCAACACGATTCTTGGTAAACCGAAGTCACACGCGTCCTTGCGGGACCCACGTAAACGGCTTTTTCATTTATTTTTATTAATATGCACCCTCGAACTCGACCTTCTCTAAATAAATGATCGGAACCTCGAAATAGTAAATCAACGCGACAAACGACTTCTTCTCTTCTCGTGCTTTCTCAAGAGCACTTTTCGTTAATGCTCGACTCACTTATCGAAGCCGACGGAACACCGCAAGGTCGCCTCATTAAATAAGCTAATATATATAGCAATCTACTCCCACGGGAATTCAAATTTCTCTAATTAAATGCTCGGAACTCCAAAACACTCGATAAATGTCCCGCATGACATCGTGCCTGAATTATCTACACGTCCCAACTCGCTTCTTGGTAAACCGAAGTCACACGCGTCCTTGCGGGACCCACGTAAATGGCTTTTTTATTTATTTTTATTAATATGCACCCTCGAACTCGAGCTTCTCTAAATAAATGATCGGAACTCGAAATAGTAAATCAACGCGACAAACAACTTCTTCTCTTCGCGTGCTTTCTCGAAAGCACTTTTCGTTAATGCTCGACTCACTTATCGAAGCCGACGGAACACCGCAAGGTCGCCTCATTAAATAAGCTAATATATATAGCAATCTACTCCCACGGGAATTCAATTTTCTCTAATTAAATGCTCGGAACTCCAAAACACTCGATAAATGTCCCGCATGACATCGTGCTTGAATTATCTACACGTTCCAACTCGATTCTTGGTAAACCGAAGTCACACGCGTCCTTGCGGGACCCACGTAAACGGCTTTTTCATTTATTTTTATTAATATGCACCCTCGAACTCGAGCTTCTCTAAATAAATGATCGGAACTCGAAATAGTAAATCAACGCGACGAACGACTTCTTCTCTTCTCGTGCTTTCTCGAAAGCACTTTTCGTTAATGCTCGACTCACTTATCGAAGCCGACGGAACACCGCAAGGTCGCCTCATTAAATAAGCTAATATATATAGCAATCTACTCCCACGGGAATTCAATTTTCTCTAATTAAATGCTCGGAACTCCAAAACACTCGATAAATGTCCCGCATGACATCGTGCTTGAATTATCTACACGTTCCAACTCGATTCTTGGTAAACCGAAGTCACACGCGTCCTTGCGGGACCCACGTAAACGACTTTTTCATTTATTTTTATTAATATGCACCCTCGAACTCGAGCTTCTCTAAATAAATGATCCGAACCTCGAAATAGTAAATCAACGCGACAAACGACTTCTTCTCTTCTCGTGCTTTCTCGAAAGCACTTTTCGTTAATGCTCGACTCACTTATCGAAGCCGACGGAACACCGCAAGGTCGCCTCATTAAATAAGTTAATATATTGTAAAAAATAAATGCAATTAAATATAAATAATAAATTTTATTTGTAAAACGTATTTTCGTAATACGTTTTACAATTAATTCATTGTCAAACGTATTACGGAAATATGTTTTACAATTAAATCTAAATTATTCATTACATTTAATTGTAAAATGTATTTTGAAAATACAATGTAAAACGTATTCTCAGAATACGCCTGTTTGATTTTGGTCCACTCGTTTTTTTTTTTTTTGTTTTAATTTTGTCCAGTTATTTTCTTATTTTTGATTTAAATAAATAATTCCTGTATAATAACGTGTATGTATGGACTTCTTGAATGGTTCGATTTTCTAGTAATGTTAGTTTGAGAGTTTTGGCAATTGCACAATACAAAGAATGCATGCGCAAAGAAAATCCATTTGACCATTGATTCCACTGTTCATTAAGCAAAAATTTTCAAGCAGCTACAATCCCAACATAACTATATAAAAAGAAAAAACAATTACCAAAAAGAATATTAAAGTACCACATTTCTTACTATAATACTAAAACAGTTGTTCGCTTCATCACCGTTCAAAAAGACACAAGACCTTCAAACTAAGAAAAATCAAACAAAGATAAAACTTCAAATAGCCAAGCACCATTAACAATATACTACTTAGTCAACCTCCTCCATCTTGCTGCCCTCAGCATCGGCATCTGCCTCCTCCAGCGCAGGCATGTCCACATCAGCATCTTCGGCATCCTCATCAATGCTTAGCCCCAGCTTCAGCATCCTGTGGATTCTGTTCCCAAACGTGTTTGGGTCGTCCAAGCTGAACCCAGACGTGAGCAGGGCCGTCTCAAACAACAGCAGCACCAAATCCTTGACCGATTTGTCATTCTTGTCTGCATCTGCCCTCTTCCTCAGCTCCTCCATGATCGGGTTTTCCGGATTGATCTCCATCGTCTTCTTGCTCGACATGTACCCTGCCATGCTCGAGTCCCTCAGGGCCTGGGCTTTCATGATTCTCTCCATGTTGGCCGTCCACCCGTACTCCCCAGTCACCAGACAGCAAGGCGAGTCCACAACACGGTCTGACACAATGACCTTCTCAACCTTGTCCCCAAGCACGTCCTTGATCACCTTGCAGAGACCCTCGAATTTATCCTTCAATTCTTCCTTCTTTTTCTTCTCATCCTCGCTCTCATCGAGCTTGAGGCCCTCCTTGGTGGCAGACACAAGCTTCTTGCCCTCAAACTCCTTGAGCTGGCCAACAGCGTACTCGTCAATGGCATCCACCATGTACAGGACCTCATAGCCCTTCTTCTTGAGCTTCTCGAGGAAGGGGGAGTTCTCGACCGCCTTCTTGCTCTCGCCCGTGATGTAGTAAATATCATTCTGACCATCCTTCATCCTCGTCACGTAGTCCTTGAGGCTTGTCATCTCATCCCCACTCTTGGTCGAGTGGTACCTCAGCAATTCAGCCAGCTTCGACTTGTTCTGAGAGTCCTCATGGATGCCGAGCTTCAGGTTCTTGGAGAAGGCCTCGTAAAACTTGTTGTAATCCTCCTTGTTCTCAGCAATCTCAAAAATCAGCTCAATGCACTTCTTCACCAGATTCTTGCGGATCACCTTCAGGATCTTGTTCTGCTGGAGCATCTCACGGGAGATGTTGAGTGGCAAGTCCTCCGAGTCGACAATGCCCTTGACAAAGCTCAGGTACTCAGGCATCAACTCCTCACAGTTGTCCATGATGAAAACCCGACGGACATAGAGCTTGATGTTGTTGGGCTTCTTGCGCGTGTCAAATAGGTCGAACGGTGCCCGCTTGGGAACAAAGAGGACAGCCTTGAACTCAAGCTGCCCCTCAACAGAGAAGTGCTTCACAGCTAGGTGTTCCTCCCAGTCGTTGGTGAGGCTCTTGTAGAAGGCAGCATACTCCTCCTTGGTGATCTCTTCAGGCTTCCTCATCCAGATGGGTTTCTGCTTGTTCACCAAGTCCCATTCATGAGAAACTTCCTTGATCTTCTTCTTCTTCTTCTCAGCCTTCTCCTTCTCCTCATCAACCTCCTCGACCTTTCCCTCCTCATCCTTCTTGTCCTCATCATCCTCATCGTCCGAGATCTCCTTCTCAGTACTCTTCTCAACCCAAAGGGAGATCGGGTAGCTGATGAACTCAGAGTGCTTCTTGATCAGATCCTTGAGCCGGCGCTCCTCGAGGTACTCAAGCTGGTCCTCCTTGAGGAAGAGGGTGATCTTGGTGCCACGGCCGAGGGGCTCACCAGATGTATCCCGAGTAACAGTGAACGAGCCACCAGCTTGGGACTCCCAGACATACTGCTCGTCATCATTGTGCTTGGTGGTGACAACCACTCTCTCAGCCACAAGATAGGCAGAGTAAAAACCAACACCAAACTGGCCTATCATGCTCACATCAGCACCTGCAGCTAGGGCCTCCATGAATTCCTTGGTTCCGGACCTAGCAATTGTACCAAGGTTGTTCACCAAATCTGGAATTGAAAACAAACATTGTATGTGGTGAGATTGGAGTTCACAGGCAAGCATGAATAAGAATATAACCGCCAATTTACTATGAATAAAATTTATTTAACACTTATACTTACCAGCCTTGGTCATACCGATACCGCTGTCTACGATGGTCAGGGTGTTGTTGGTCTTGTCAGGGATGATGTGGATAAAGAGCTCTGGCTGAGCATCAAGCTTGCTCTTGTCAGTCAAGCTCTCAAACCGGATCTTGTCCAAAGCCTGTAAATCAAGATACAGGCATCTTAGACACATTGTATGCACATTCAACATGATAATTCCTCATACAAGATTCAGACACTTCTGAGTAGCGAACAAAAGAGAGATGCCAAAATACAATTCATAAGACGCAATAACATGTCAGCTACAGGGGAGAAGTACCAAACCGCATTCATATAACAAAAAACATAAACGGAAACAAGAATTGAACTCATCAAGTCGATATTAAGCGAGATAATCAACAAGATAAAGTGCGAGATAATCATGAAACTACAGCACAAGATAAATTTCATGTGATCTAACAACATAGGAGCTCGAGAGAGAGAGAGAGAGAGAGAGAGAGAGAGAGAGAGAGAGAGAGAGACTTACATCGGAGGAGTTACTGATCAATTCACGAAGAAAGATCTCCTTGTTGCTGTAGAAAGTGTTGATAATCAGACTGAGAAGCTGGTTGATCTCAGCCTGGAAGGCAAACGTCTCGGTATCCGCCATTGCAGCGAATCAAAAACAACAAATTGTGAGCGGGTAGAAAGGAAATTGGACAGCGAAACGGGAGAGAGAGAGACTAGGTATCACTGTAAGATGAAGCAGGATGCAAAGGATGAAGCTTGGAGTTGAAAGGGGGAGAATAAATAGGTGCGCGCTCTTAGGGTTTCTAGATCCTTCTGTGTGATTAAACTTGAGCCTGGTGGCCAGAGATACGTTGTGTGTGGCGAGAGATACGTTGTGTGTGGTCCCCATTATTAGGCGGAGACCAGAATGCGTCTTTGATGATGTTATTATTAGGGCTGATGAATGTGATTGGTACTTTTTGCAACACTTGCTCGTGCAATTTACGGAAAATAATATTACGTACAAATAAATTAATCAAGATTTATCTATCGTTTTTAAATTAAATTATGTTGGACACAGTTCAACCGGATGGAACAAGAATATATTTATAATCAATCTAATTCACTTGAATAAAATATTTGCTATTGAATCAATACCAGTCGGTTGAACTGGTTGGATCGATACGATTTTCTAAATAAATTTGGTTATATTTAAAATTATTTTAAATAAAATTAGATATTTAAATAAAATAGAGATTTATAAATTATTTATCCATTAATTTAAACATTTGAATTTTTAAATTGTTTAGATTTTAAGTAACACATTTTATTCTAATTTATTATAAAAACTATTATATATATATATATATTAAAACGTATTTTTAAAGGAAAAAAATAAATTTCATGATTTTTATAAATTTAATTGTATGATTAAATTGTATGATTATATTAAAGCATATTTATAAATTAAATTGTATGTTATTTAAAAATAAAAATAAGAAAAATAATAAAATTACTATTTATGGATAGCATTAAATGCTGACCTATTTTTTTGCTACTAATTTTAGTAAATATGATGACTCTTTAGGTTCCCACATTAACCGTTACACATTTGAATATTTTTCTACCAAATTTAAAATTAATTTAGTAACAGATTCAAAAAATAAATAATAAAAATATATGTAAGGTGTAACACTTTTAGCAGATTAATGAATAGTTAATTAAAAATGTAACTCCTTTTGGAGGGAAATGAAAATAGGATTTATTAAATGCATCAGCTAATAATTATATATGTAGATACATACGTAAAACAATAATATATGAAAATTATTTATAAAAATTAATATTTATTGTAATATAAATGACATATACAGAAGTTAATGTTTAAAATAGAAAATTCTAAAAAAATATGTATTTTTGTTTCATCTGCCCTAATTTCTTTTACCGAGCCTCCACCAACAGGCCTTTGGGTCCTCTCATTGGTGGCTGGCTCCGGACGGCGCGGGTACTCCTCGAAATTTCAGGCTGATGTCTGCCTTTGCTGTGTTGGAAGAGAATGGCTACCCTGGTGGTTGTTCGTCGTTCATCTTGTGTCGT